TACTCATTGAGAGTCTCAGTTGTCTCTCCCAAGAACCCCTCAGTTTTTGAATCAACTTCTTTTGACAATCCTCTCAACGCTGCAGTCATCCCTGTTGCACACACAGCATTCTGTGAACAGCCACCATCATCCGCAGTGACCTTCTGTGGCTTAGTTTCCCATTAAAGGGTGCTTTCTGGACATTTGTCAAGTCAGCAGCATTCACCATCGTTGTGTTTATGTGTACTGCACTTGACTGAGCAGCACACAGTATTTATACTATATGAAAAGTAACTGACTTAAATTCAAAGTGAAATATTCTAATAATTTGGTTATTGATTCATAGACAGAAAATGATAGAAACATTGATGTTTTAGTGAATTGTGTTAGAATATATTACATTTTTACTTTGCTAAATAACTGATGGTTATCACATTGCCACTGCTAGAAAGAGTTTTTTCAGGCTTAATAAAATTCTAAACACATTAGGTTGGTTTGATTGTAACAGCATTCATCAGTGAAATGATAACCTATCACCGTGATCGACTGGTACATACGATTGTAGCTTTTTCTTTTAAAATAGGCCGTCTAATCCAGCGTATGTATGTGTTGCAACAGAGCAGTTTGAGTTTTGCCACTAATCCTGAAGCTGTGACACTACTGTACATGGAAATGTGTGGGTTTTTTTCTTTTTCTTTTCTCTTTAAGTCTTTAATTCTTGTCTCCTCTCAGATGTTTGAGTTTTATGAGCGAGTGTCTGGAGCAAGGATGCACGCTGCATACGTCAGGCCTGGTGGCGTACATCAGGTAGGAGAAGAATTCATTACATTTTTATAACTAGAAAGTTCAACACTTCTCTAAACATGCTTTTTAAAATGTATCTATAGATAGATATAGATTATATAGATAGATAGATGAGAGATGAAATCTAAAGATCCGTATAATATTGTTGTATTTGAATATGTTTCAGGACTTGCCCCTTGGCCTGATGGATGACATCTATGAGTGGTGTAAGAATTTCTCCATTCGGATTGATGAAGTTGAAGAGGTGAATGACTCCATGTTCTCCTCAGTTCTCCACGAGCTCTCAGCGAGCTCGAGCACGATGGGCGTGTGGAGCTTGTGGATGCAGTAAATTTAAAGTGACATTCATGTTGGATTTCCTTCATGCAGATGCTGACCAACAATCGTATCTGGAAGAATCGCACTGTGGACATCGGAGTGGTTTCTGCTGAGGAGGCCCTCAACTACGGTTTCAGGTAACCCATAAATGAAAGTTCACTGACATATTGGAAATTAAGTTACACTGATGACTGACAATGATGGCTTCACTTGCACAGTAGTCAGCTGTTATTAATGCAGATACCAATATATCAGCTTTCTAAATGAATAAACAAACCCTCCTAAAGGGAAGTGACACTGCTGTGTCAGGGGCAAACACGTGTTTTCAGTCTTAATAATGGTGCAATCTGCCACAAACTTCTTAAATCAGTTTGTATAATTCATTTAAATATTCTCCTTCTGGAAGCTGCTAGAAATACATGTTTTTGTAAACCTTGAAATGCATCACTCTGCTTTTCCCACCACCAGTGGAGTCATGTTACGAGGGTCTGGAATCAAGTGGGACCTGAGGAAGTCTCAGCCATATGACACGTACGATGAAGTGGAATTTGACGTTCCGATTGGAAGCAATGGAGACTGCTATGACAGGTAAGACTCGTCCAGACAAACAGCCCGAGTCTTCTCTATAGCAGCCCGGGTATGAGCACGCCAGAAGAATATTTGGTCTCTTTATTATATTTATTCTACGGAGCCCCGCAGGGGACATGGGAGAAAAAAAAATTAAGACGGACTTTTGCGAGATCTGGCAAAACTAACTCGGGATCTGGCAAAACTAA